CAGGGAGTAAAATGGACATTTTCTTTATTTTTTATAAAAAGAAAGTGTACAAATCAGTCAAATGACTAGTTGGATTGATTTTAACACCCCTCCTCCTCTCCAAATTGTCTCATTGGAAAGAGAAACTTTCATGTAAAATTCATTTTTCAATGATCTCATCTACTCATGCAAGTGTCTTGAGGTGTATTTAGAACTAGTAACTGTTTTACTGAGAAAAATATGTATGATCACATAGACTGTTTATACATAACTTTTGAACAAGAACACTTCACTTCAAAAACGAATGTAAGAGAACTTATAAAATGCAACACAATGGAATAAATGACTCTCTCTCTCTCTCTCTCTCTCTCTCTCACTCTCTTATATGTATAAAAGTAAAAAATTGTGGGTTGAAAATATTTCAGCCACAAATTTTTTTCACCGTACTGACTATAGCTTATATAGGGTCAAAGTATGGGTCAAGTAGACTCAAGATTATACTTGAACTTTTCAGTTTCGAAGGTATTCTTGTATGCTTCAGTTTTGACTTGAGAGAGATTAGATTGCCTAGTGTGAAATCCCAAATAGTGTCAAAGTGCATTATTGCAATTGATGTTAACATTAAGCAGGCTTGAACGTTCTTGCCAGAAATGACACTACAGCTCAAGACCACACTGACTGGCTAGAACTCGGCATCTCCCTGGAAAGCATTGCTTGTCAAAAATAAAATATTTTGACATGTTTGCATGCCTGAAGAGTAGGTCCCAGGTGGATCACAAAATGGGAGACTAGCCATGGCTACTAAAAATGCTCAGCTTTCTCCCTTCTCAACTGAACTTGAAACTAAAGTGGCAATTTAGGTTACATGCTTATATTCCAAACATGTTTGGTGAGATTGACTATCAGCTACAGAGAAAGCTTTGACCTGGGTGCAGACAGCAGGGCAGTATCCTTGAAGTTCAATCTGAAGATCAAGTTCTCTCTTTAATTGATAAGGAAAAAGTTTCAAATTCCACCTTTT